CAGCGGCTGTGTGTGAGTGAGTGGCGGGACCTACAGCTATATCACGGCGGCTGTGTGTGAGTGAGTGGCTGGTCCTACAGCTATATCACAGCGGCTGTGTGTGAGTGAGTGGCTGGTCCTACAGCTATATCACAGCGGCTGTGTGTGAGTGAGTGGCGGGTCCTACAGCTATATCACAGCGGCTGTGTGTGAGTGAGTGGCTGGTCCTACAGCTATATCACAGCGGCTGTGTGTGAGTGAGTGGCGGGTAATTCAGCTATATCACAGCGGCTGTGTGTGAGTGAGTGGCGGGTTCTACAGCTATATCACAGCGGCTGTGTGTGAGTGAGTGGCGGGTCCTACAGCTATATCACAGCGGCTGTGTGTGAGTGAGTGGCGGGTCCTACAGCTATATCACAGCGGCTGTGTGTGAGTGAGTGGCGGGTATTTCAGCTATATCACAGCGGCTGTGTGTGAGTGAGTGGCGGGTATTTCAGCTATATCACAGCGGCTGTGTGTGAGTGAGTGAGAGTCTAGATTCCGCTCTTTGCCCAGACATTGTTTGTAAATCCAGTTCACGATTTAGAAAGTTCAAGTTCTGAACAAGTATAAATGACAGTCACCCCGGGGTAGTATCAAATGGAAGCACCAATATGACGAGGGACTGTGAATATTTTCTCTGGACGAGACATGAACAAGATCCGCGCCATCAGCGAATAATTACACACAACATTTGTCACCACTCGCCCCTTTCCGTCGCTATTCGGCTTGTCCCGGAATAACACGGTTGGTCACGAATGTACACACAAGTGACAATCAACCAATCAACATCAACCACAAGCCTGAATAGGGTGAAAAAAGGTCCCAGAACCCTACAAATGTCGTAATGCAATCAAAATATCACGTGTTTCTCATCTCCATGCTGACCTGCAGTGTCTGCGTGAAACGGGAAATTCCTTAAATTGTTTTCTTGGTTGGGGTGATACCTATTCAAGCGGGAGAATGGTCAGGGTCAAACGTTACAGTTTTTGAGCGCGGCGGTATTTTCGGACGGGCTGGAGACGAAAAACACAAAATAATATGCAGGTGGTCGGTGTAAATCACGCCTAGCGGTTGCCTGTGCCCGGTAGTATGTCACTAAAGGTGTAGATAGAGGCTGTGCCACCAGTAGTCGCGATTAAATACAGGTTGTCGTGCTACAGCTATGGTATTACCGACAATATAACTTTCCCTTGCCTGTGGCGTTCTATACCAGCTGTTGCCTGTGGGGTTCTATACCAGCTGTTGCCTGTGGGGTTCTATACCAGCTGTTCCCTGTGGGGTTCTATACCAGCTGTTCCCTGTGGGGTTCTATACCAGCTGTTGCCTGTGGGGTTCTATACCAGCTGTTGCCTGTGGGGTTCTATACCAGCTGTTCCCTGTGGGGTTCTATACCAGCTGTTGCCTGTGGGGTTGATTGAGTGTGTCATCGAACTCCGTGGTGTGTCTATCAGTGCTTACGTCACAGTTGTTACCCTGCTACCTGTCAATACAACGCGGTGTTACTGAAAGCGGTGGCTATGCATCTAAAACACATTCCACATTGTCCTATATTTGAGAAACTATACAACACGCTGAGGCGAGGAACACGGGCCACCGTATGTCTGACAACAATACATACCCCACCGCCTGTTGTATAATGTGTGCTGCTGCATGGGTAGATATAACTACAAAGGGCACGTGGGGATTTCGGAGAACAGGTATCCTGTATCCAGTGCTTAGGTCTCCTGTAACCCATGCTTAGATCCTTGTAACCCATGCTTAGGTCTCCTGTAACCCATGCTGAGATCCCTGTAACCCATGCTTAGGTCTCCTGTAACCCATGCTTAGATCCTTGTAACCCATGCTTATGTCTCCTGTAACCAATGCTTAGGTCTCCTGTAAGCCATGATAAGGTCTCATGTAACCCATGCTTAGATTCCGTAACCCATTCTTAGGTCTCCTGTAACCCATGCTTAGATCCCTGTAACCCATGCCTAGGTCTCCTGTAACCCATGCTTAGATCCCAGTAACCCATGCCTAGGTCTCCTGTAACCCATGCCTAGGTCTCCTGTAACCCATGCTTAGATCCCAGTAACCCATGCCTAGGTCCCCTGTAACCCATGCTTAGATCCCTGTAACCCATGCCTAGGTCTCCTGTAACCCATGTTTAGGTCCCTGTAACCCATGCCTAGGTCTCCTGTAACCCATGCTTAAATCCCTATAACCCATGCCTAGGTCTCCTGTAACCCATGATTAGGTCTCCTTAACCCATGCCTAGGTCTCCTGTAACCCATGCTTAGATCCCAGTAACCCTTGCCTAGGTCTCCTGTAACCCATGTTTAGGTCCCTGTAACCCATGCCTAGGTCTCCTGTAACCCATGCTTAGATCCCTGTAACCAATGCTTAGGACTCCTGCAACCCATGCTTAGATTCCTGAACCCATGATAAGGTCTCCTGTAACCCATGCTTAAATCCCTATAACCCATGCCTAGGTCTCCTGTAACCCATGCTTAAATCCCTATAACCCATGCCTAGGTCTCCTGTAACCCATGATTAGGTCTCCTTAACCCATGCCTAGGTCTTCTGTAACCCATGCTTAGATCCATGTAACCCATGTTTAGACCCCTGTAACCCATGTTTAGATCCCTGTAACCCATGCTTAGGTCTCCTGTAACCTAGAGGTCTGCATAGCGAAATGAATCGCTTTAGAGAGGGGTGTGTCACAGTAGAGTCCACTGTGCCCTTCTAACAATATGACGTTATATGGAATTCTATCATCAAATAATTATATGATATAACATAAAGTCCATTTAACGTTTAAAACGTCATTATTGAAATATGGTGTTACCATTGTACGTGTGAATGAGACTGAGTCTACCATACTGATATGACGTCATATAGAAGTAAGTGTGTATTGAATAACCAAATTATACAAAACCAAGTAATGTATGTTTTTAAACCTTCCACTAGCCTTCGAGAGTGTGTGTTTTCACAAAGCTCCTCTGCATTAGCTTCTTGGTCAATTCAGCTTGCCAGTGTTATCGTGAGCGGTTTTTTTCTTTTTTTACTTCTCAGATTGTTTGAAGTTAAACATGGATGAAATACAAGACACATACATACGTGTTGTCAATGCTGAAAGAATAATGACATTTGTTACAACTTTATTGGATTGGCGAGCTGAATTAGTTGGAGGGGATAGAATGTATTCTCACAAAGAAGCCGGCATGTGGAGATAACAATTACTGAAGGTGGTGTAATTTGCTCAGCATGACCAAAGTGCCGAGACGCGTCACTTCACACAACTAGCCAATACCATAACCCAAATGTGTTATAAATCAAACAGAGACATATGCACCAAAGTTTCAGGCGGCACGAATGGTTTGTCTTGCAATGAGGAGGAAAAGAGTGGGGGACACGCCTCCCAAATCCCCCATGGCAGTTGCCTAAACAGACGCGTGCATTTCAATATTGCCTCCACTCGCAACAGAAGCTCGTAGCATGGGATAAGCGGTTTACAATTGCTATCCATACCCTCCTGTATGTATCGAGGATCGATAGCATTGTGATCTCAGTGCATAATGAATGTAGCCTACGCCGACACCCTGAGATTGATTCAGGTTTCGAGTCTCAGGGGGAAACCAAATTGACTTTGGAGAGCCCGTAATAGACTTTGGCAAGCAGGCAGGCGCGTAACTTTCATGTCCATGTACAAAACGTGTGGTGTTTGCTGGATTCGAACCTCGGTGGACTGACTGTTGTTTGTATAGACGTCACATTCAGACTGTCCCTCTGGTTCTGCAGAAGGACGGAATTCTAAAACCATTATTGCTATTGGAGTTGCGTGCATAATCATCCCCCAGAAGTGTAAGCGTTAGCAATGGGGATAATGGTTGGTCCTGACACCTATCAAATTTGTCAATTTCGAGATTAGTTTATCTTTTTTATCAAAAGAGTTTTCGAAGCACGTATGATGAGTGAACTGAGCACGTCGATGTGTTCCATATGTAAATGAGGTAGGTCGCGATTTCACAGATGGCGCTGCATTCATATCACAACAGAAAGTGAGGCTTAGGAAATCTGGTAAATATTTCTTAAAGTTCGACACACCAAAGATCCAGGTTCGAATCCCGACTGATGAAAATATGTAAGGTGTCCTCTACCGTGATAAAACTGTGGTCGTTGAAAAACGCTACACTCACTCACTCACTCACTCACAAAACGTCTAATGATGACATCTTACGCGGACACAGGGGAGTGGGGTGATGAAATACCAGGCAAAAGAAAGTATACACCCATGTTTGATGGTGGCTAAGAATGAAACAAACAACAAATGGTTATTCGATGTATTAAAACGGGTATTATAGTTGTGTTTTGGACTCTTCTGTGACTGTTTTCACCCCAGTTATGTTTTGATAACGTTTGTAATCTTTTGGTCAAATCCAATGTTCAGGTGTATACTTTCCTTTACCTTACAGTTTATTAAATATGACGATTACTGAATGCATTTTGCCAATCACAAAATGAAGCCCTTCGTATCCTTTTGTATATATATATATATATATATATATATATATATATATTGCACTGTGTGTGTTGGGGGATGGGGGGCACAAGACATGTACTGCACAACTTGGAGGGGTGGGGGCCCACACAGGACATGTCCTGCACGACTTGGGAGGGGTGGGGGCGCTAACAAGACATGTACTGCACAACTTGGAGGGGTGGGGGCGCACACAGGACATGTCCTGCACGACTTGGGAGGGGGCGCTAACAAGACATGTTCTGCACGACTCGGAAGAGGTGAAGGCGCACACGGGATATGTGCTGCACGACTAGGGTGGGGTGGGGGCGCAAACAAGACATGTCCTGCACGACTTGGGAGGGGTAGGGACCCACACAAGACATGTGCTGCACGACTTGGGAGGGGTGGGGGCGCACACAAGACATGTCCTGCACGACTTGGGAGGGGTAGGGACCCACACAAGACATGTGCTGCACGACTAGGGTGGGGTGGGGGCGCAAACAAGATATGTCCTGCACGACCAGGGTGGGGGCGCACACAGGACCTGTCCTGCATAACTGAGGAGGGGTGGGGGCGCTAACAAGACATGTCCTGCACAACTGGGGAAGGGTGGGGGCGCACACAGGACATGTCCTGCACAACTGGGGAAGGGTGGGGGCGCACACAGGACATGTCCTGCACGACTGGGGAGGGGTGGGGGCGCACACAGGACATGTCCTGCACGACTTGGGAGGGGTGGGGGCGCACACAGGACATGTCCTGCATAACTGAGGAGGGGTGGGGGCGCTAACAAGACATGTCCTGCACAACTGGGGAAGGGTGGGGGCGCACACAGGACATGTCCTGCACAACTGGGGAAGGGTGGGGGCGCACACAGGACATGTCCTGCACGACTGGGGAGGGGTGGGGGCGCACACAGGACATGTCCTGCACGACTTGGGAGGGGTGGGGGCGCACACAGGACATGTCCTGCACAACTGGGGAAGGGTGGGGGCGCACACAGGACATGTCCTGCACAACTGGGGAGGGGTGGGGGCCCACACAAGACATGTCCTGCATAACTGAGGAGGGTTTGGGGGCGCACACAGGACATGTCCTGCACAACTGGGGAGGGTGGGGGGTCACACAGGACATGTCCTGCACAACTGGGGAAGGGTGGGGGCGCACACAAGACATGTCCTGCATAACTGAGGAGGGTTTGGGGGCGCACACAGGACATGTCCTGCACAACTGGGGAAGGGTGGGGGCCCACACAGGACATGTCCTGCACGACTGGGGAGGGGTGGGGGCGCACACAGGACATGTCCTGCACGACTTGGGAGGGGTGGGGGCCCACACAGGACATGTCCTGCACAACTGGGGAGGGGTGGGGGCCCACACAGGGTATGTCCTGCACGACTGGGGAGGGTGGGGGGTCACACAGGACATGTCCTGCACATTAGGGATGGGGTGGGGGCCCACACAGGACATGCCCTGCACGACTGGGGGAGGGAGGCCACACACAAGACGTATCCTGCACGACTTGGGAGGGGTGGGGGCGCACACAACACATGTCCTGCACGACTGGGGGAGGGAGAGCAAGATATGTCCTGGACGACATACATCGTTGTCTATGTATCGAGTGCATCTCACCCTAGAGTTTATTCAGTGTAACTGTCGTACATATACATACATATTGTGTACTCTTCGGAAACCATCACAGCTGGCGAGCAACAGCTGCAGAGAAATGCCCGTGGAAACGACTTGCGTTGTGCCTGGTGTTGTGACTGTTGCTGCGACTGGTGGTGTGACTGGCGTTATGACTGGCGTTGTGACTAGTGGTATGACTGGCTTTATGACTGACGTTGTGACTGGTGTTGTAACTGGTGTTGTGACTGGTGTTGTAACTTGTGTTGTGACTGGTGTTGTGATTGGTGGTGTGACTGGCGTTATGACTGGCGTTGTGAAAGGTGTTGTGACTGGTGTTGCGACTGGTGGTGTGACTGGCGTTATGACTGGTGTTGTGAATGGTGTTGTAACTGGTGTTGTAACTGGTGTTGTGACTGGTGTTGTGACTGGTGGTGTGACTGGCGTTATGACTGGTGATGTGACTGGTGGTGTGACTGGCTTTATGACTGACGTTGTGACTGGTGTTGTAACTGGTGTTGTGACTGGTGTTGTAACTTGTGTTGTGACTGGTGTTGTGATTGGTGGTGTGACTGGCGTTATGACTGGCGTTGTGAATGGTGTTGTGACTGGTGTTGCGACTGGTGGTGTGACTGGCGTTATGACTGGTGTTGTGAATGGTGTTGTAACTGGTGTTGTAACTGGTGTTGTGACTGGTGTTGTGACTGGTGGTGTGACTGGCGTTATGACTGGTGTTGTGACTGGTGGTGTGACTGGCTTTATGACTGACGTTGTGACTGGTGTTGTAACTGGTGTTGTGACTGGTGTTGTAACTTGTGTTGTGACTGGTTTTGTGACTGGTGGTGTGACTGGCGTTATGACTGGCGTTGTGAATGGTGTTGTGACTGGTGTTGTGACTGGTGTTGCGACTGGTGGTGTGACTGGCGTTATGACTGGTGTTGTGACTGGTGTTGTGACTGTCCTGTCCCTGTAGCATAAAGGGAACCATGCAGCCAACCTCTAACTCTTGCACGATGTACATACAAAGTTTCACGAAGAAATATTGAACGGTGTAAGAGTTATGTAAGAAACCATACCCTTATTTGAATCTATGTCCAACTTTATTGCCAAACATTTTTGAATAACAAATGGCACCAGTTTAGTACATGCCTGGTGTGTATGCAAAGTTTCAGGAAAAAATATTAAACGGTTTATGAGTTACGCTCCGGAAACATATCCTACCCTCATTTTTACTAAAACCCAACTTGTCCTTTGAAACGGACCAAAAAAGAAGAGGTAATTTCCGAAAAGACAACAGTTCAGCACATGTTTGATGTATATCTCAAAGAATATTGAACGGTTTATTTGTTTTGCTCCGGAAACGAAACGCGACGGCCGAACAGAGATCGTTTCTTCGTTTGGGCGGGGGGTAATTACAAATTTTCCATTTTTTAAAAAAATGTGTTTTACTTCCAAGGAGGATTGTTTTAACAAACGCAAATCATTCATATGAATGGATGTCAGTATATGACATTGTACTTAATACTGAAATAAACAATTTGGAAAAAAAACATTGTTTGAAAGTAATGTGAGACATGTTTTATTCCGTGAAAGTTCGTCATCTCGAAGTCCTTCAGGACTTTATGTCGAGTTCTACGTATAGCTCGAGACAGGGATGTGTGTATTATTTTACATATTGTGTAAATATGGATTCTGACGGAACTATACCCCATTTGTGTTTGTTGTTTTACGCCGCACTCAGTAATAGTCCAGCTATATTATAGCAGTCCGTAAATAATCGAGTCTGGACCAGACAATCCAGGTTTTGATATTATGAGCAACGTCCAATGCCGTCAGGATGTGGTCACACGCAAATCAGACAGGTCACTGAGCCTGATCACCCGACCTGTTAGTCACCTCATACGACAAGCGTAGATTTTGCTGCTAACGTATTAATACATACGTATTGCATACATTCATACATAACCCTACATTTCAGTGGGGTCATTGGAAATAATAATATACCTCGATTCAGGGGAGTTCGAGATGAGCAGGGTGTCTGCCCGGATAGCGGAAGGTAGATAGTTCGATCCCCGGCCGTGTCACACCAAAAGATGGTACTTGGTGTTACCCTGCCTGGCGCTCGGCTAAAGGGGCTGAAACAAGAACTGCTCGGCTCGGAGTCAGTATGCTGTGTCTGGATGGAGTATCCGTGCTAAACTGTGACATGTTATCTCAGTGGGCTAGCACAATATAACTAAACCAGTACGAGCACACACGCTCCTGCGCGCACGAACGCCACTTTGTAAGTCCTTCAATAATCTTGAACCGACATTAAATCCCATTTCACCTCGCCCCACTGTAATCTAAAAAAAACAAGCTATATGACACGTGGGCGGTTCAGCCAGAACCTATAAAGAGTTTGGTATAACTCTTTGGAATTATTTTTAATCATTGAGTTATGCCTTGTCTACACTGAGACGGAACCCAGCCGAACTAATGATCGGAAGTAAGCTGGCCAACCCCATATCGGTTATTTCCCAGATAAAGTCAGCTGCGTCTGTCAAAGGTTGTGTACTTGTAGCTGCCTGTGTTTTTCTTAATAAATTTACATAAAATTATTGTTGACATGTGCTAAGGATAACGTATTTATGCAAACTATTAGACCCGTTTGCTAGCAATTTGGCTTTCTGAAACGTGATTGTATTAAGTGTCAGTATACGGCCTCATGAAATATAAGCATGTATAGATCAGATGCACTTACACCCGAGAGTGGCATATATAGTCAGTGTACTCAGTGAGTTGGCAAAAACGTTTCATGTGAAACATCAAACACTGATTCTAGTTTAAATGTTTTGATATTTAAAAATGTATATAACATGATTCAGTTGAACCTATGACAAAGGTACATTCCACACACCCCTGACATGCGTATTTACAAGGGTAAAGCCGCACACGCGCTGTACATAGATAAGCTCTTTCACCACGTGAACACCGTGAAAACATGCAGATTGTGCACGTGCTAGTATGCCCTGAGTGTTTTACCTGACCTTAATATACCTTACAGTATATGTTACCTTCGTCATACCCCGCGGGTGTTAAAAATAGTGGTCACAGTGAGTGGGCAGTTTAAATGTATTTTTTTAATGGTTTCCACTGTAAATTGGATGAAGCTGATTTGAAAGTAAACTTCTATACACAATACAACAAATCCCCATTACAGGGAGACACCCTGTTTAATCCGGCCGGTAACGAGACATTAATAAGCTATACTCGTCAACACACATACCTGTTTTTTTTAATAATTTTGCATAATTTTCACAAAAGATTTATATACCAGCGTGCGCACGCACGCACGCACACACACACACATTCATTCCCGTATGCAGGCCTGAGTCGGGGCCAGAATTTACTACATATATTGTTGCAATGAACTAAAAAAGACAAGATTCTTTGAAGTGACTCCCTGTGTCTGTCCTGTCAGTTATAATCATGCTCATGTGACTGTTCTGAAAACTGCCACAACTGAAACAGTCAATGTTATCTAGTGAACTGACTCAAATGGGGCATACTACAGTGTGTTTTTTATCAATAACTTTGCAACAATGAGGTGTATTAGGAAAATGGTAAACTGATATTTAGAAAAACATGTGCGGTCGTCTTGTGCAGATAGCCAGGCATATGAACATAAGGAACCTGAAGCCATTCTTGTCATTCCCATATGTAGGTACATTAGACAAATACATACATGATACAACTGCTGTAAATGATACCAGCAACCTTTCTGTAATATGTGAAAAAGATAATAATCTCATGATCACGCTATATATATTAAGTAACAGCACTATCCTTCCTCTAGTAACTACATCATTTACCGATTTAGACAAATTCAAGTAAAACTCTTCACCGTGAAATGTCAGATAAATATTGTTGCCTGCGTGAAACATATATCCAGCGTTAAAAGAAAATTTATGAATTTAGTTTAATTGCGTTTGACTCTGGAATGTCACACATTTCATTTATTTTTCGAATTTGTAATAGCTACCCTGTACCTAACGGTTTGATAACACCACACTAACCAAACAACGTTTTATCTTGAAAAGAATAGATGGAATTTAAAAGGGTATCAAAGGTGAAACTCCATCCAGGGTCAAGAAAGGTCATTGCAGCGTGCTAGCAGAATTTCTGTGAAGTGTTTTTATTTGATAGACAGCTCGACAAATGATCACAAAAAAACTTCATTGTTAACACTGAATCGGCATTTTGCAATTCGGGTAGTATGGCATACCATAAACCCTGATTTAACGCCCTTAAACCTACAGTTTTAAAACGACATAGGCTGTCAATTGTCCCATTTTCGTCGCGTCTCCACATGGGCGCCAAAGATGATGACATGATAATAATAATATATTCATTTTAATTTAAATAACTGTTGATTTTTTATATATTCTTATCATCAAAATTTGCCTTAAAGCGACCTTCTCTGGAGCTGATGAAACAACTAGGTGCATGTACGTCAATTTGATTACGTTTCTATTTTCTAAGCATTTGTTCTGTGACGTCACTTGTTTACCACGTGCGCCTTCAAGATGATGCCAAAAACAAACAAAACGAAATAACAACACGAACGTTTGTTGTCTTGTCATTCTAAGACTCTTAACTTTCTTTGTCAATCTTCTTACAGCATTACCGTTTCATTCGACAGATTTCAACAAACCGACCGGCGTCTGAATAACGCAAACCGTCAACATGACAGCATATATAACATCATACAATGAACTGAGATTATCATAAGTCTAACATGATTTAACGTTTTATTTTATGTAACAACGCCTCAAAATTAGCAACCATCTTCATTAAAAGCCAACTATAACCGAACAAACGTTGTTTTCCTCGGGTAAACAAGTCCCTTGGTTAAACAAGTGTAATCAACAATGGGAACACGTTGTAAATTTCAAGTGACAGCTGACAGTAAAATATTCAGAACCAAATACTCTGCGGGAGGGTATGTCGAGCAACACCCGACTCCACACTTCATATTTCCACAATATAACTCTATAAGGGTCACGGTGTGTGGCCACAAGTAGTAACGAAGTATCTCTATCGTCCGACCTGACTACACCTGAGTGATCGATAAATTCTACCTGTCGTCAAACTGCTGTGCATATATGGTACAGGCTGCGTCCGAGGTTGGCTTACAACTATCTCTTATGATAACTCATGTCAGCTGATGCTTAATCTTTAATTTGATTTCTACCTCCTGTGCCTTATTTCCAAATGAGCGGTTAGATTGACATGGATCGATTCAGGAACGGGCCAATGAACGCAGTTCGATAGAAGGCAGGTGTCGGGCCGCTGGGTTTGGCAAAACAAAACATCGCCCAGCTTTCATCTGTGGGCCCCAGCGCATCCGGGTATTGTTTCATCATTACAGAGGTTGGGTAAGCTTATTCTCTCGGACGTAGAACGGGGAATTTACCAGTGATAAGAGAACGGATGCAGGTTTGCGGAAACGCGTGCCCGCTTGGTGTTGTGAGTGATTTTGCGGACTGTGCCGAGTTTGATGACTGAGTTAGCATTGGGAGTAAGCAGCTGCAACCGCGAGTGACAACGGAGGCGTGATTTCCCGATATTCAACATGGCGGAGACCATAACTCAAGTTTCGGGGAATGGACCTGCCGGAAAGATTGATGAAAAACTTATGAAATTGTTTACTAGAGACCCTGCAAAAGATTTTCTTCTACAGAAAGAAAATTCAGGAACACAGACAATGCTTCACATAAACGGAACGAAGGAAATTAACGAGGAGAACAAAGAAAACAGAACGAATGGAGAGGTAAGCGTGTTTTGAATGATAGCTACTGATGACAAAGAAAAGGTGTGCTATCACAAGGACTTTGTTTAGTGAGGGGGGTGTATATGACCCAGGTAAACAGCGAGGGATTCTTTCCTGCTCGATTTGTCAACTGTCACGTTTGTCTTGGCTAAAAATGAGCCTGTGGCAAATAACTAAGGAAACTAGTGTTTGAATCCCGCGGTTTATTTTCGCTCGGTGTTCTATCAATACATATACATGGCTCCGATATCATATTTGTACAGTTGTTATTCGTGGGGATTATGACTTGTGAGGAATATTGTGAACAGCTGAATCTTTATTGGAAGTATTTTTCATACACGCATTGGGGGATTAACATGAGCGTCCAATGTATTCACTTCCTTGAAGCAAGCAGGAAAATGGAGCGTCATTAGTTTCATTGTCCGATAGCCTGTCAGTGGTGGTGTCTACAGCTAGGGTTCATTTCACATTTTATTTACCCTGTACTTCACTTCATTCCCGTATGCAGGCCTTTGTCGACGCTAGAATTACTACATAATTTCCCATGGACAAAAGCCAATATTCACCGAAGTGACTCCCAAAGTCTGTCAGTAATAATCATTCTCATGTGACTGTTTTATGACTCAACCTATTTCACTTCCTCCTAAAAACTGTTTAATACTGAAACTGTCAATGTTATCTTGTGAACTGAAACATATACCAATATTTCTATTAATAACTTTGCAACACTGTGGTGTAATTGCAGAAAATGGTTAGTTGAAATTTAGAAGAACTTGTGTTGTTCTGTGTGAATATCATCATGAATATGAACAGTAAGAATGTGAAACCATTCTAATATGAAGGTTAATTATACTAATAAATGACACAGCTTTTTGAAAATGATACCAAATAAACCTTTCTGAAATAACTTTTTTAATAAAAGTAATATGATCACACTATTCCTTGATAAATCTGGCACTCTCTAGTTACTCTCACCAGTAACCTGGTAACCATTGCCAATATGTTATTTTTTACATCATTTAGCCAACAGCTTGAGAAAATTCAAGGTAAACCGTTCGCCATAAACATGATAAAATGTCAAACAAAGCTTTTTCCCAAGTTAAACATATATCCAGCTTTAAGAGGACCTTTACATGATTTCGAGACTTGAATACAAATCAACCCCAAATACATTTATTAATAAAGAGAGACTCACAAGTATTGAAAACATATATCTGCGTTTTTCTCAAAGTCACACTGTTGGGAGCAGTAACAGTTAAGAGGTGTGTGCTGCTGTAGTATTATAAACTGATACGTCTAAGCTTACAATGATAGGGGGTTAGGTGAAGTGCTTATAATCTCCCTGCAGATCAGAGGTTATCTATGCCCAGTGATATATCACCTGGGCCCTTGATACTGGGATGTAGATTACACTACTTAGGTGTCGCCTTCTTACACACTGTGCCAATCACATGTCCACTTTGTTTTTGTTGCATTTGACGTTGTTGATGGTTAAAGACTGACGCTGTAATGACTAATGGTTGAGTCTATTTTCTTTAGTTTCTGCTGTGTTTGTGTTGGATTTTGGTGTCGGTATTGGACATATGGGGATAATTCTAGGGTGGGGCCATGTGCTTTAAGACCCTAAATTTAAAAAAAAGCCCACATTTTCAAATACAATTAGTCATTTTAACCTTGTGCTGTATGGGCATACCTCAGGAATATTTGAAATTTTCACATAAAGGGCCCATGTCAGAAAATTCTGAAAATGAACCCTGGACATATAACCATTAGAAAACAGAGGTGGATCCATAATTTTGAAGAAGTGGGGTGCATATAAAACCCATTTCACAGAGCTGACTTGGTTGAGGGCTCCATTTAAAGGGGGGTGGGGCACTCCCAGCAAACACACACACCCCCCTCTCTTTCCCAACAACCCCCACCCCTCTCTTTCCACCTGTGTATGAGTCCCTGTAGGTAAAAACATTGTATCTCCTGAACTTAGGAGTGTGTACTCCATATGATAATAAATAAACCCAGCTGGTATTCTACTATTTCATTGATCATTTTTATGGACCTGTAAAATGACAAGTGGTAATTTGTACTCTAACATGCCTAGTAGTATTTGATTCCATGATCAGGACATTTTATGACATTGGTGTGCTCAACTTTCATCTTTATTATATCCTACCCTAAATAAAAAAATTTAAATCAACATTTTTGTGCAGGCTATTTCACACGATCTGTGAATTTGTCTCATTTTCATCTTTAAGAAATTATGTGAAAATCTGTTTGGGAAATGTTTTATGTTTGTTTTTGGCAGTAAACACGTCAAGTCACCTTGAGACTTGATGTAGGACCACTCACTGAATCTGCAGCTTGTTGTGACATAGGTAATCCTCTTATGGCTGTTGACCAAACCCACATCAATAAGGCTCACCTGCATGCATGATGGATACCTTGTGCCAGGTAGTAGGATACTGCAGTCTTTACCACAAGCCTGTCGTGTCATTGCTACTCGTGCTGCAGGGTCTTAAGCCATGTTAAAGGTGCACAGCGCAACTTGACCTCCGAGACTTGGCACATGAAGGGTTAGAAATTCATTTCCATTTTCGCTAGTCTTTAAACGTGATCTTCTATAGATCTCCCATCTTCCATGTTCCTAATGACAAAAGTGGTAGTCCACAAGGAAATGACACAGTCCTTCCTGAACTTCTTCAGTCTCAGACTTGTGGACTTGGGTTAATTTCGAATCCTGAAATGAGTTAAGCACAGCTCTTCAGCTTCCAGGGGGTCTTGCTGATTGACCCCAGTAAATTAATAATAGCTCTCAATTTCTAAACGATATGGATTCTCTGCCCTATATTTCATGCAAAACGTTTTTACTGGGAACGTGTCATTTGAGTATTCTAGCCACTCTGAAGCTCAGTAGGTGCACTTATTTATGTTTAGCACTACATGTATTACAGTATGTTCTGTGGATAAAGAAACTGTATAGTAAGTTCTAAGTATGAATGGTCTGTATCTTGTGGGAGGGGATCCCAGAACAGACAAAGTCACCAGACATCCCAACATTGGCACTTGCAGGGTGTATTGATGTTTATGTTGTTGGAGCAATCTGATGACAGATTTTTCATATCCATGGAAAACAAGGTTCTGTTGGGGAACCATGGCTTTGACAATTATCACTGTTCAACTGGTCAAAAGTGTTAATTAAAAAGCTGATTCAGGTTTACACAGACATCCTGTTGTGTGATCAGAGACACTACGTCCTGATTCAGTCCTTGCTAACGAATGTTGAATATCCTCATTACTGGCCAGGGTTTTGTTATCAGTCATTTACACGTGGGATAAGCATGATAAGTATCCATGTTTATAAGTCTGAGCGTCAGATCAATGTATATGTGGGCTGCATTCATGGAACAAAATGTGGGCTCAAAACACATAGCAAAATGTGGACTTCTTACACAAAACACTATGCTTATAAAAGTCATTTATTGTTTTATTGCTTGGTTTACTGTCCTGCCAATGCTTCATTTCATTAATGTGGAAAACACGAACATTTCGGAGTCCTTTTCTCCCACTCAAATGACAATCTGTTAATATATTTCATTAAAACAAAAGTATTAGTATCGCTGGGATAGACAATTTTCCGGTCCTGTAAAGTAAATGGTGTAATAGAGACTATGCAGTAATTGTTATAGTTGTGTTTAGGTTGCAGCAGATTTCATTTTCATCGTATTAAAAACCAAAAAACTAACTCTTCCCATGTTTCAGTCTCACCTTGGCACACCCTGATGTAGTGCAGAGCTCCGAAATCTAATTTTAACATATTCAGTTTCTTTATCTATTCATACTACTAAAGAATTGAATCAATGATTATCTATGTGCTGTTGAAATCATTGTGACAAAAAATGCTGATTCTTATTTTCGGCAAAACGAGATGATGGATCGGTTTGTAGTTAATCTAGAAGTAAAGTTATTATTTTTCAGTCAGAAATGATGAATATGAAAACTGTAATTCTCTAATCCATTATCCCTCACTTAGAAAGGAATGTTCCTGGTGTAGAATGGAGGCTAATTAAAGGGATATGGTTGAATGATGGTGAGAGCTCTTGGCTGCAGAACTGTGAATGTCGATCGGTACAAATGTGCTTTGGAGAGAATGGCTGAATTGATTCCATTATACCCAGTGGTTTCAAGAGGAGGTATTATGTTTCAGTCACACCCGACTGTCTCCTTTGTGTGGTTTACATCATGTTAATATCAGGTGGTGATATAGACAATATACAATGGCCATATCAGGTGTTGATCATGGGGATATAGGCTATATACAATGGACTACAGGTGATGATATAGACAATATACAATGGTGGTGCCCAAGTGCTGACAGTGTGTTGATTAGTCATTGATTGCTATGAATATTGGGTATTGCTACTTTAACAACTAGAGTGCTGGGGCTGTGGTGTCAGGGCCGTAAAACCATGTATTGATCTGCTTGAAAGTATAAAATTCTTTTGTATATTTCAAATTAACATCGAAATTTAGCCATTAATCTACACTAACTGCTTCCACAATGTCAATATGATAAGTGTTAAATTCAGATATTAATTAGTGTGGTAGACTGATGGGTATGGATCAATAGGCACACATCTGATGCTTTTGTTATTTCTGGTGTCCCCCGCTGGGTTATTGCTGGAATATTGCTAAAAGCAGCATAAAACCACATTCACTCCCTTTGGTGTGTGTGTATGTGTGTGTGTGTGCTGTGTGTGTGTGTGTGTGTGTGTGTGTGTGTGTGTGTGTGTGTGTGTGTGTGTGTGTGTGTGTGTGTGTGTGTGTGTGTGTGTGTGTGTGTGTGTGTGTATATATATATATATATATATATATACCATAGCATGATATATCCCTGAACCAACCCATTGAAACAATGTTTGGCAGTTGTTATTCACACGATGGACACGGCAGAGGTCAGCATGACAGTTGCCTGGACACACGTCGCCAACAATGGATTACGTCAC